TATAAAGGACAATTCTAATTTGTTTATTCCATGTCATTAAATATAATGTCTTATCATTTGCCAACTAATTGTATACCTAATGAATCTGGTTGACTCTAATGAGAATGAACAAAAGCATAAGTTCGTTAGGTTTTTTTTAACAGACAAAACATGATTGAGGTTTTTTGAACGGTTTCGAAACTTCGTTGGTCTTACAAGTCATTTTCCCGATTTTTAATACACGTCATAAGATATATGTGATTCGTTGACTTTCATTACTCGGTTGACCATAATGAGAATTGAACAAAAGTGTAAGTTTGTTGAGCTTTTTTAGACAAAATGCTAAGTTCATTGGATTTTTCTGAATAGACAAAACATAATTGAGGTTTTTTGAACGGTTTGGAAACTTCGTTGGGTTTATAGGTCATTTTCTCTTATAAAATGACACATGTTTCTTGTTTTGTCTAACCATAATATATCTGGTGGTTGTCGAGGCCAACAAAAATAAATAACCCTAAATCTTTTACACTAAAATAGTGTATAGTGGTAAAGGGGTCGATCCACGGAGATTGGTTCAATTTATAACTCTATGGAAAATCTCTTTGCAAAAGTACTTGTAAAATGACAATAAAATAAAAATGGGGGCTTTGATCTTTTTGAAATACTTAAATTAAAACTAGAATTAAACTATAACTTAAATGAACAATTTGGCAAAAATAAGAATTTGATGTGAAATCAATAAGAGAAAGATGGTTGACTTAAGGTTTCCTCACTTTGACTTTTGATGAACATATCATTAGAATCCAATGGCGCAATACTTGTTTTAAACCCTTAATTTGGCTATAGTAATCCAAGGAGCTTGAGATTACCTAGACTTTTCTTAGTTGTTGAAATGGTTAGAGAAGCTCATAACAATTTCCTTAGTAAAAGTCACTAATTCCAATAAGCATGTAATTAGTGAAAGTCAACTAGCATTAAGAACCAAAAAGTCACCAAATCCAAGAGGAGTCAAAAGCTTACACTACCATGTTGGAGAAAATATTTTTATGATTGTGTGAAGTAAAACTAACACAAGAATCACTTGTTGCTTGCTAATTTGAAGATCCTTTACTTAATCAAGAAATTAGCCAACTAATCACCACAAACACATTTAACTCATGAATAAAAACATACAAACAATGATAAGATGTTAAAATACAAAACATTCTCATAAAGATTCAAACACAAGTTCATGGAATCTTCAACATTCAACAAAAGTTCAAAGGATTCAACAAAAGTCAAACAAGATTTGTTTAGCCAAGCATGGCTAAACTCAAGAAAACAAAGTTAGTTAAGATTCTACCAAACATTTGACAAGAATCAAGAGATGAAAAGATGAAGTTCTTCAAGGTTTTAGGTCTTCAAAGTGCTCCAAGACTCCAGAGAGAATGCCTCCAAATCGGATGTTAAAGATAAGGCTAAAGAGGCACACCAACCTTCCCAATATAGAGCTTCAAGCAAAATCCCGAATTTGCCCCTGCAGGAATCCACGCGGGCCGCTTGAAAATCTTACGCGGGCCGCGTGAGGTGTGACGGATTTTGGGCTTCTTCAAGTCTTGGGCCCCCACAGCTATTCCATTGGCCCAGTTCGAGTCTAATCAGCCTCTAGCCCATTTTTCTTCAAGATTTCTTCAATTTGAACCCAATTTGACTTTTCCAAATCCTCTAAAGCTCTCGTAATCGCCCGATCATCAATCTCCGCACACTTGAAAATTCTCCCGCGTCTTGCAAATTTAAAGTTTAATTCTTCCAAGCCTTCAAGTAATTGACAAGCCCACTCCATGAATCACCTCCATAGCCATCAAGCCCAAAATCCTCATTGCTCTTCAAGTCCAATCGCTTCCCAAGAATCCCGCTCCGCTAGTCTCCAAAAAATCTGCAATAATGCTCAAGAAACTAGAAAGTACCCGAAATGGTCATAAAATAACAAAAATGAAAATATGCATGGAAATTAACTAAAATGCGAATGAAATGTGCTAAAATAAACTATAAAAAGAAGTAAATAAAATGAAGCTATTAATATCCTCTGTTCTTGCGTTTTGTCTACATTAGTTTTTTTCTCTCTATTTTCTTCATCTTTCTCAACCCACAACACAAGAAATTCTATCTTTTTCAACCCACTCAATTAAAAAAAAATACAAAACAACTAAGGTACAAGTCTTAAAACAGATGATACAAGAGAAAATGATAGAGAAAAAATAGAGAGAGAGGATGAAGCGGATTAGTGAAACCAATTAAACAACCCACCACTCCCAACCCTCCCAACCCACTCAAGAGGGAGTGGTATCTTGAAGGTACCTTAGTTTTTTTTTTGTATTTTTTAATTGAGTGGGTTGAGTGAGTTGAAAAAGATAAGTTTTCCGTGTGTTGTGGGTTGGAAAAAATGAAGAAAAAAAAAGAGAAAAACAGATGTGGTAGTGGGTTGAGTGGTTTGGAAAGAATGACTCACTGATTATATATATATATATATATATATATATATATATATATATATATATATATATATATATATATAAAAGCACATTGATAGTTTTAACAGTAACTTTTTTCTATTTATACTTTTGACACTTTACTTTTATTTGTTTACATGTTTGCCTTAACCTTTTCCAATTCATACTTTTGACACTTTTAACTTTTCCTAATTCATATTTTTGCCATTTTACTTTTATTTTCTTACACTTTTGCCTTAACCTTTTCCAATTCATACTTTTGCCACTTTTAACTTTTCCTAATTCATACTTTTGTCACTTTACTTTACACTTTTGCCTTAAACTTTTTTCAATTCATACTTTTGACACTTTACTTTTATTTGTTTACATTTTTGCCTTAACCTTTTCCAATTCATACTTTGACACTTTTAACTTTTCCAAATACTTTTGACACTTTACTTTTATTTGTTTACATTTTTGCCTGAACCTTTTCTAATTCATACTTTTGACATTTTTAACTTTTCCTAATTCATACTTTTGCCACTTTACTTTTATTTTCTTACACTTTTGCCTTAACCTTTTCCGATTCATACTTTTGTCACTTTTAACTTTTCCTAATTCATACTTTTGTCACTTTACTTTTATTTTCTTACACTTTTGCCTTAAAAATTTTCCAATTCATACTTTTGACACTTTACTTTTATTTGTTTACATTTTTGCCTTAACCTTTTCTAATTCATACTTTTGACACTTTTAACTTTTCCTAATTCATACTTTTGTCACTTTACTTTTATTTTCTTACACTTTTGCCTTGTCCAATTCATACTTTTGCCACTTTTAACTTTTCCTAATTCATACTTTTGTCACTTTACTTTTATTTCCTTACACTTTTGCCTTAAACTTTTTTCAATTCATACTTTTGACACTTTACTTTTATTTGTTTACATTTTTGCCTTAACCTTTTCCAATTCATACTTTTGACACTTTTACCTTTTCCTAATTCATATTTTTGCCACTTTACTTTTATTTTCTTACACTTTTGCCTTAACCTTTTCCAATTCATACTTTTGCCACTTTTAACTTTTCCTAATTCATACTTTTGTCACTTTACTTTTATTTCCTTACACTTTTGCCTTAAACTTTTTTCAATTCATACTTTTGACACTTTACTTTTATTTGTTTACATTTTTGCCTTAACCTTTTCCAATTCATACTTTTGACACTTTTAAGTTTTCCTCTTACTTTTGACACTTTACTTTTATTTGTTTACATTTTTGCTTTAACCTTTTCAAATTCATACTTTTGACACTTTTAACTTTTCCTAATTCATACTTGTGCCACTTTACTTTTATTTTCTTACACTTTTGCCTTAACCTTTTCCAATTCATATTTTTGTCACTTTAGTTTTATTTCTTTACAAACACGTCTGAAAACTTTCTGACCCATGCGAAGCATGGATCCTTTTCCTAGTTTATATAAAATCTTAACTAAAAATAGGATTGTTTGTGTACAATGTACCAAACGGCCAAACTAAGAAAATAGAAAGACAATTAATTGCTCATTGAGTTGATTAGTTTTTGGTGTTATTATATTGTATAAAAAACATGGGGCAATTACTAATCTAGCCAAATTAAGGAAGTGATTAACAATTTTTAGCCAAAAATTAGGATTTGTCCCAAACTAGCCCACAAAACCGTAGGTGGTTAAAATGACCTACTGTTTCGCCCATTTACCTACTGTTTTGATTTTAGTATATAAATATATATTTTTTCATTTTTCACTACGAAACCGTAGACGAAAAAATGGTCTACTGTTTCCTTTGAGAAGTCTACTGTTTCCCAAAGAGTAGATTAAAAATGATCTACTGTTTCGTCTAAAAACCTACGGTTTTGGGGTTTTTTTGGGTATTTGACTACTTACTAATTCATGTATTTTGACTACTATATCGTATCAACTATATATTAAAAGAAAAATCTCTTTTAGAGAAAAAGTTAGTGTTTTTTTGTCATCTTAAAAAAAAACAAAAAAAGGGAAAAAAAACCCAAAATTGTAGGTTTTGGACGAAACAGTAGATCATTTTTAATCTACTCTTTGGGAAACAGTAGACTTCTTAGAGGAAACAATAGACCATTTTTTCGTCTACGGTTTCGTAGTGAAAAATGAAAAAAAAAAATCTTTATATACTAAAATCAAAACAGTAGGTAAATTAGCGAAACAGTAGGTCATTTTAACCACCTACGGTTTCGTTGGCTAGTTTGGGACAAATCCTAATTTTTGGCTAAAAAGTGAGAAGTCATTAATGAATTTGGTTAGATTAGTAATTTCCCTTAAAAACATTTAGCAATTTTATAAAAACCAATACGATTCAAATAAACATTTCAAATGTTAAAAGAATAGTTTTAAGCCTATAAACATTTGAGTTTAGATTAGATTTTTAAGGGGTAAAAGTGAAAGGGATCCACCTTCTTCTCCTCAAAACTCTCTTTCAAAATAATTACCACCCTCTCTGTAACAACCAGTAAACGACCTCCTTCAACCACCATCCTCCGCCCAATGTCCACCGAACAAAAAGTATCATGGTCGGATTCTTTCTCCGAAGCCCAAACCGCCATCCAATCCCTCTCCACCATCCTCCCCTCCATTCCTCCCACCCTCTCCTCCTCCGATACCCCCTCCTTAGCCCTCCTCACCGACCAAGAACTCGCCACCCAAGTCTCTGACCACCTCCGGCAACCCGACTCCGGCGCCGGCGACAATCAACTCTGCCGCTGGCTATACGACACCTTCAACACCTCCAAAGTCGACCTCCAACTCGTCATCCTCCGCTTCCTTCCCATCATCGCCGGAATCTACCTCTCCAGGATCCCCCTCCGGAAACCACTCGCCGGATTCGAAGCGGTTTTGTTAGCCATTTACGCACACGAAACCACCGCCCGTAATGGCCAGGCAATCACCATAAACCTCCCGGATCTCTCCCACCCGAGCATTTACCATGAAAGCAAACCACAACCCCATAAGAGCGCATCAACCGATCTTAACCTAGTCGTGATCTCCCCTGGTTTGGATCCTCAGGGAACAATCCGGTCAACCAAACGAGCCCGGATCATCGGAGTTGGTCTCGAACTATATAACAGCAAAATCGTTGAGATGCCGGTCCAATCGAAACTCGATTTCTGTGAATTTTGTATCATTTGGGCAGGCCAAGATGGAGAATTCTATAAAAATTTCCCAAACGACTATCGAGAAGAAAAAGGGAAAGAAGACGAAACGAAGAACGAAAAGCAAGAAGGGAGGGTTTTGCTGCCATGGGAGATGCTTCAACCAATGTTGAGAATATTATCGCATTGTTTAATGGGTACTTACAAGAACAAGAACAACGAGTTGCATGAGGCTGCATGTCGTGCTTGCAGGAGTCTTTATGCTAGGGCATTACATGATATAAATCCGAAAGCGATTTTGGCTATTGGGAGTCTCCTTAAACTTGTCAATTTTCGGAAAACGGGTGTCGATCATACTGAGTTACCCGTTACTAATGTCATCAATCTTTAATTCCTACACTAATTAACTTGTTAATAATTCAAACATTTCTATAATCTCAAGTGGTTGAACAATAATATTATATGTACGAATGTCATTTTCTGTAACCTGTTCCCTTATCCTACATTAGACATATAGATTAATTATACTTCTTGTAAAGACCATATAATTCATTGACTGCATTCTTTATAATTATTAGGTTTATAGTCTTACACGATTGTTCTTAAACAATAAGAAGGTTGAGTTGATACTTACGGAAGGAAAAAGGATAGATGAAAGAAGGCAGTGGCGTTTCGGTAATTCCACGGCAACCAGCGGCGGCTATTTCTCCTGGTGCCGCCTACTTGTCTCCAGCGATGGGTGTTCCGACACCATCACCATTCTCGTTTTCTGTCGCTTCTTCTCGATGGAGTTCTTCTAGACCTTCGATTCATATTTCCATTCTCGTTCTCAGGGCAATGGTGCTGTTTTTTTCTTTTGCTTCTTCTCTGGCGCTCGCTGCCACCATGTCTGATAACAATCAGGATGGATTCCAAAAATACACAGAATTCATGTAAGTTTTAATTTATAATCTTCTTTGCAAATTGTAAATTAAAAGGGTAAGAAAAATGGACGTATAATCGATTGCAGATACAGCTTTGTGGTGACCACTGTGATTTTCTTCTATTCTGCATATCAACTGTTCAAAGGTATCAGTGACATTTCCTGTAGATGCGTTCTTATATCGGACAAGATCTCAGACTACTTAAGCTTCGTTCTGGATCAGGTAAATAAGTCTTAAAACACTTGAAAACTCTCTTCAATGGTGCCTGTTGCTTCTGCGCTATAAACTAAAGCATGTTACTATATGAAAACCAGTTAGCTGGGTACCTCCTTGTTTCATCTTCTTCAGTGACAGCAGTAGCTATCCAAAATACATCATCATCGCTCAAGAAAGCAGCAATAGTTTCTGTTTCCATGTCAGTTGCTGCACTTTTGACAACCGCAGTTTCTGCAATTCTCTCCGGATACAAGCTCAGCAAAAGAATTATGTGGTGATGCCAAAGTTTGAGCAACCATATAAGTACTCCTTTGATTCTAAATAATTGGAGATGGATTATATATGAATTCTTTTTTCCTCTTAACTATTGATCCATTGTTTGTTTTCAATGGATTAATAATGTAAAACTGGATTCTGCATATCGAAGTGCATTAATCATAATATTTAATCCAACTACTAATCTTTTCAAAGTGCATTAATCAATATGGGATTTGTCTCTAATTTAATCCACCGCATCATTTCACCTGTCCTTTAAACAAAAGATTCTCAAAGTTCTAACAAAATAACACAATAATAAACAAACGAGGATGTTAAGGCTAGCTAGTAGCTACCAATATAAGTTTTTTTCCCCCTCTTTTTTGAGGTTTTTTCCCACTACTACAAAAAAGAGCATTACCGACGGCCAAAACCGTCGGTAATCCGTCGCTAATAGGCTTTACCGACGGAATTGCAACAGACCAAAAACCGTCGGTATATTCTTGTTGCTAATTTTTTGTAACAGATTTCCGACAGCTACCCCAAATTTTTAGCGACGGAATATCCTGTCAGTAATTAGTAACCGATCTCCAACGGAAATAGTTTTGCAACGGATTACCGACATAATGCATTCTAACAGACTACCGACGGAATAGCTAAGTAACAGATTACCGACGGATTATACAACATTTTTACTGACGGATTTCCGTCACTAAACCGTCGCTAATAGTGATTTTATTTTTAAAAAAAAAAAAAAAATTATATGAAAATTCTCACTTTTTACTATATTAAATAAACAAAAAAACATAATAAAACAAACAAATTTAGAAAAACCTAATCAAAAGTGCTAAACATATTTGGCGATTCATATACAATGATAACATGTTTGCAAACTTTTGCAAAATATGAAATCCTAATATACACACCACATTAATCATACACATATATGCATATTGCAAGTTATCCACAAACAAATTCACTGAATTAAATGACGGATAATCCACAACATACAAATGGCCATATGTTTAATTAACATGAAAATTTCCAAAAAAAAACACTAAATAAACCAAGAAACTAACTGTAGCTAACTTGTACCTGTATCCCAAATAAGTAGCCTATACAAAAAAGAATCGTCAATCATACCATGAATATAATGAAACAATTTTATGGATAATTACACAAAGAAAAAGAAGCAACAAAGTAAAATATTAGAAATAAGGATAATAAAGAATCAATCATATTGGAAAATAACATACCTGCAAGATAACATACCATTCTCCTCAACTAGATCCGCTTCTGGAAAAAGATCAAAGCCCTGTCCGGATACATTTGCAAATCAAAATAAACAAAACAAGAGTTATATGATTATTAAGGGTATAAACTTTGGGTCAAATTTGGTAGTATAAAAGTCAAACCTCACCTCCACTTATAAGCTTGTTCAACAGTACATTCAGATTGTGATGTTGGGTTGGAAAGAGCAAGAATAACAGGTTTCTACAAAACCACTAATTTAGAAGGCTTAATCGGAGGGTAGTTTGGGTATAAATAAAATGTTACCTTGTTAAAAGATGAAATAGCTTTAGTAACTTCTTTTAGTAAATGTATGTCCTGCCCCTGAAGATCCAATCAACACTGTTGGCCTGATTTCTTGACAACATCCAAAAGTTCATGTTTGAAACAAATTTTGTTAAAGTTAAAGAATAATAATACCAAGAAAATGGCCGAAATCAAGCTGCGGGCAAACCATCTTTTATGCACCTGTTGAGCTCGTGAGGCTGCATCCACACTCTCAAATCGTAGATACACATAGCCAGCACTTTCCCTATTAAGAGAATGACAATTTTGCCCCTGGTCATTTCTTCTTTACATGGCAAACTTGTTTAGATATCTTTAGATGGTTTGTTTTGTTCACATAATAAATTGATTTGTTATGAAATTATATACTTTTTTCATTAGGTAATAATATGAATATGAAATAATGAATAATGATGCATATTTTTGACAACTTATAGTTATATAAAATGAAAGAGATAGATAAATAAATAAATAAAAAGAATGTTATACTTGGCAACATAAATATGCTTCACCCTTCCATAGTTGGAGCACTCTTCTCCCACATCCTCTTTGATGTCCAAATCAAATTCTGGGTCACTCTGCAAAAAATAATTAAATAAATAAATTTCTTCCAAACCAAGAAATAATATAATAAACTTGTATATTTTGTGTGAATATTTATTTTTGAGAAAGAAAAGAAGATACCTCAGCAGCAGGGTCATACATATTTTTTAGCAGCAAACACTCGTTAGGGTTTCCAATTGGCTCTGAAACAAATTGTCGGGGCAAAATGGGAATTGTAGCTGCTGCCACATCCATGCCTTGAGTTGGACCAGATCCATTAACTATAGGTGCTCCAAGAGCCCCAGGAATACTGCAAAGAACCATCCAAAAATATCAAAAGACAAAAATACCCCTTCCCCACTTAGAAAACACAGATTGAAGACTCTAAACGTACCCTGTGGTAATACCACTGCGATCAAGTTTTGCCATTAGCATAGCTCTTGATTGAGCATTTAGTGCCTGTACAATAATAATAATAATAATAATAATAATAATAATAATAATAATGAATTAAAAGCATGATTGTTTTAAATAAATAAATTAAACAAAATTAGAATTATATGGACTCACCAAACCTCCACCATCATCATCATCAAAGTCTGCTGCTTTTGCTCCTGTGTCTTGTGCACTAACATGATCAGTAACTGAAGACACCTACAACCAATAAATTGTAAAAAAATAAATAAATAGTTGATAAAGAAAAGGATCGATGTAAGAAATAGTAACATACTTTAATTGATTTGTTCATTTAAAAACAAAGCTACAATTGAGTAAAATTTTCAAAGGACAATGCCTTTGAATTTGATAATATAAGAAAATTAATTGTAAGTAGAATATTGAAATAGAAAGAAATGAAAGTATAATGTTATAATAATAATAATAATAATAATAATAATAATAATAATATACTTACGTAGTCTCAGCAACAGTCCAAATCAATAATCATTTTCTCGAGATCTAGGACATTAACATCATTAACAAGTCATCTGTCTTTATCAATGACACAATTTCTTTTCTTTTATATCTATAGCTAACGAATTGATCCCTGTAAAAAGTTTTCAGAAAGTTTAGTCAATCTTGTTTAACTGAAATGAAAACAAAGCAAACAAAGTTTAGTCAATCTTGTTTAACTGAAATGATAATAAACGAGGTTAGACTGCATACAAAAACAGAGTATGATGATGATGAGTTTTGCGGTAAAACCAATGAAGAAATAGAAATAAGATTTTCCATATTTAAAGAAAACAGAGGAGATGAAAATGGGAACATGCAAGAAGAACCCATCAAGAAACAGAGTTGGAAACTTAATTCATGTCCAAAGTATGATCAAAATTGGGGTAGTTTTATTGAATATTTTGAGTATACTTTGGATGAAAAAAAAAACTTGTAGCTTCTATTTCCACAAGGATTGCATATAGCAATATTCATGAATCTAACAACAGGAAATATTCAAATTTCATAGAATTATGTGAAACAGAGGTGTTAAGCGTCCATATACAAATTTCGACATTGTTCAACAAGGTTTTTCATTATTACCCACTAGACATTCGGTATTGCCTAAAAATTCAAGTAGAGACCCTTAGTAACTAGCCTAAGAACAAAAAATAATAGCAAATGAAAAGACACGTACTTGTTGACAAAGGATTCCAGCAACGCCCTCCAATCTTCAATAGTTATCCTTTTTCTCTTAGAAGTAAAGGGAGCAGCAGAAGACCATCCATATTGTTGAACATTTGAGGCAGGCACCAAGTTGGATATCTCATTGACAACTGCCACGTGTCCACATTATTCAATGATCACAGTTTGTTTTAAGCAGAATGCAAAGAAAAACCAATGACTATTTAGCACCTCAGGTTAATGGCTCTTAAAGATGTAATATGAATATATCAAAATATGTCATCCTCCATGTGAATTAGAACAAATGCAGCTCTACAAGAAAAGGATGATATGGGAATTAAATCCCTAAAAAAGATATACAAGTTATTCAAAATACACATTGCAAAGGATAATTACAGAGTGCAATTTTTAGTTCGGACTTTTAGAGCCTTATAGCAGAAAAAAATGCATTTTGTTTTCTGATACAGAGGAATAGAGTTTCTTTTAGCATCTCAAGATCTATCAATGGCTTTCGCTTTTGTCATAGTATTAAGATAAACAAGTGAATTCAGGAAAGGAAACAGGAAGCAAGAGACAGTAAACTGACCTTGATTGTCTTTTGAGCACCTAAACCTCTGCAAGATCAGAACCGATTAACAATTTGAATTCAAAGAGACAATGCTTGAAAGTATAATGGTTTACAGATAAAAAGAATACAAAGTAGTTCAATCAAGTTCAGCATGAATGGAATCTGTGGTATCAACAATGTGGTTTGAGAATTTAATTAACTTGGTGAAAGAGATCAAAGCATTAGACAATTATTTCTAAGAAGTAGAATTTTGGATGCAGAATATACAACTTTCAATGCAGGATGTACATTTGAAAAAAATGAACTACCTTATATTATGATACCACTGATTGGAATCTCCAAACGAATGAACAAAAAGTATAATACAATCAGTGCATGTTCATCCACAAGTAAAAACATAAAATTGTACATTAACAGATAAAATTTTCCCACATTGCCATTTACATTCTTAAACCAATTCGTATATTAACAAGAATTGTTATCATTTGATGTATTTACCCTACTATGAATTAAATGTACCATCAATCATGTCTGCTCTTCAAACCTAGAAAAAGAAAAAACATAGAAAAGAAGCTCTAGACCCAAATTTAAGGTAGTTAGTAGCAAGGACTTTGTCAACCTTAATGAACATCAAAGAGCCACTAGAAACACATTAGTTCAACAGGCAAAGAAACGCATTTGAATTTCCAAATTCATAGCATATACAGTACAAGTGATGGCTCAAGTAGCTTGAATAACAGTATCAAACTTTTATTTGACTATTTATCAACAAAATCTGATTGAATATATTCTAATGCTAATTGAGGATCTGATAATCCAATTAAGAAAAAAATATAAACCTAAAACTCAATCGATGTAATAGAAAAAATAAGTTAGGGTTTTTTTTACCACAGCTTAGAAAGAAAAAAAAAAGCTGAAATCGGATCCAATGGTAAGGTCCACCAGCTACAACAACAACTTCGACGATGGTGGTGGTGGCGGCAAGATAGTGAGGCGATGCTGGTCGTCGTTCACAGAGGTGGGTTGCAGGTCGGACCGGCAGTGGGAGGGAGAAGGTATGATGCGTCGATGACTTTGGAGTAGCTGGAGGGCTTTGCTGCCGGGGGTGACGGCGGAGGTGATGTCGGAGGTGACGTCGTTGGCGGAGGCAGTAGCCAGCTTGCAGATCGGAGATGCGGTGGGAGGAGCAAGAGTATCGTGTGAACTAGAAAGAGAAAGCGAAAGTGAGAGTAGGGCAAAATCTACGCGTTTTTTTCTCAGCAACATTCACGTATATTTACCAAATTGCCCCATCCATTTAAAAAAAAAGTAAAAAAGAAAATGGAATTTCACTAACGGATTTTGGACGGAATTTCAAATTTGTTGATTTCCGTCGGTAAACCGTCGGAATGTTATAACGGATTACTGACCAATTTTATTCTGTTGCGAAACCGTCGCAAAAACGTCGCTATATCATAGTAATTTGTCTGTCGTAAATCCGTCGGAAATCTGTTGCTTTTTTCCGACGGAATTTTCCGTCGCTAAAATTCTGTCGTTGTTGCTCTATTTTCTAGTAGTGTCCTATTTGTAAACCAAAAGATAGATTATAAGTTTAAAACTTATCAGACTTACTACTAAAGGTGGACGGTATCGGCTCGGGAATGGTTGAGGGATGAAAGGTACCTAAGGTAACAATAACCCTGTGGGCTGTGTCCCACTACCGAGACTTTTGAGCCCACTTCGGGTCATGCTTCCCATTTTTAATTTCTTCAACTTCTTGTAATATGTGTTGCTTTATTTGTACCTAAATGTAATCGTTTTCATGTGGATTAGGCCATCTGCAATGGTCACAACGAGAAGGATTGTGGTCTATGTGGTCATGATCATCGTTCGTGAACACCACCACGAACCTTCGTGGCCGGTCGTGATCATGGTGGTTCGTTGTGCATTCGGCAAATGACAACGGCCAATAAAGAGTCGTTTGAACCTTTTCCTCTTTGACTTGCTTTGACTAGCCTTTCAACGATATTTTTTTTTTGAAAAATTAGTTTATCTATTTATTTATTAAAAAACAACAATTTACCTATATAAATTGTAACACCCAAAAATTTCAAACAAATTTAAACTTTTAGAACATGTCAAGTTCATCAAAACATTACAACTTTGTTTTCAAAATATTATTTATCAGAGTATTCCCAGAAACATAAACATAATATGAGGAGCTGTACGATCGTGCCTTCGCCTTGCCGCGATCCCCTGATGTACCTGAAACAATAAACTGAAACTGTAAGCCCGAAAGCTTAGTGAGTTACCCCCAAAAATACCGATACACATACATATCACATAACCATGTCAGCATCATTATATCATAACAACGAAACAGAACAGCACATGACGGGTCCACAGCCCTACAGACTGTAATACCCACGAGCCTACAGTACGAGTCTCCCTTAGCCCGTAACTGGAATGCTCTCGAGCCCACAGTACGAGTCTCCCTTAGCCCGTAACTGGAATGCTCCTAGGGTTTGTTGGCTACCGCACGAAGCAGTGCAACCTCAACCCATCCCATATAACAAACACATATCATAACCACTGAGCATGCAATAATCATATAACATCACAGGTAGTCCTACAGGTCTACCTAACTGGCATAACCACTATCATGCAACACTAACTCACACTCAACATCTAACACTGCTAGGATAACATATCCAATGGGTCGGCCTTGGTGCCTTAGACCCCTTAGTATAGCGAGGATAACTCACCTTGCAACTGTCGTCTGAAACTAGAAAGCTCAACTCCCGGATCACCAACACGAACTCCACCACTTATAGTTACCATAAAACCCTTTTTCATAAATCTCAAAATTACCAGAATACCCTCAGAAGTCAACTGGTCAACCCTTGGTCCAAGTCAAAGTCCACAGTCAAAGTCAACGGTCCATGTTGACTCGACTCGTCGAGTGCAGTTCATCGACTCGTCGAGTCCTTCCTGAACTCGAGAAGTCGTGAAATCCTTGATTGACTCGTCGAGTTCCCTTTTAACTCGCCGAGTTCATATGTGTCCAAGAATTGGGAGAAACCCTAGCCGACTCGTCGAGTCTTCGAACGACTCGCCGAGTTCAAGGCAATCTTCAACGGACTCGTCGAGTTGTTCATCCCAACTCGTCGAGTTTATGGCCATCTTCAATGGGCTCGCCGAGTTGTTCATCCAACTCGCCAAGTCCTTGCAGACCTTTATCCATGCAGATGCTTTTTAAGCCATGGCAAGGTTCCAGATTACAGATCCAAGCTTCTAGGGCATGTTTATCACGTAAATGTTGGGTTTTGAGCATTCTAACACTCGTATGGTGTACATGCAACCCTATAAACCTTGGATCTATGTTTTCTCTGTTATACATGCAAATATTAATTATTCCAAGGTTTCATCCTAACTAGCATATTATGAAGCACCTATACTACAAAGTTCTAGTTAGATGGCATACCTTTTGATGTAGCTTGATGTCTTCAAGCTTTAAGAGCTTAGCCCCAATAGTGTGGAAGCCTCAAATGGAATCACAAATCACCAAAACACCTTGGAAGAACTTGAGAGAATATGTATGCACACTAAAATCGGTCCACTCTTATTTTCACACACTTGTGTCAATTTTGTGAGCCAAGGACCCCTTTATATATTATGGAGGATTAGGGTTACATCCATGTAAACCCTAATACCCATGACCTTTCATTTACATAGGATCCATGGGTTAAAAGCTCCATGGACCATCCATGAAAGCTTAGCCCAACCTAAATGAACTTGGCACATTCCATATATATAAGAGTCCATATTTAATTAGTTCTTTTTGATCCCTTAATTAATTCTAAATTAATTCTTGATCAATACTAATTAAATAATATGATTCCATATTAATATATTAGAACTTATAATATATTAATATAAATCATAAATATACTATTCTCAAAAGACTATCCATATAAATTGTGCCGGTGAAGTGCAACCCAAATGGACCATGCCGGGTCGGGTCAAGTACATACCAAATATAGTTATGGACTTAGACATTAATCCAACAGGCTCCCACTTGGATAAGTCTAAAACTATTATTGAGTATGACCTCAAAACCTAATTGGCAATCGTAGCTCTTAAAGTCGTTGTCGAACTCTGACCTTGTCAATGACTTGTCCATTAGATAAGGGATCATATATTCCTCCATTCTAGATATCATATGGACTGAGACATGGATTATAATCATTCTCTCTGTCCATTTGTTGTTTCCCGATTTTCGATTTATGATGACTGACTGATTGAACAAATCAAATCAGTCCTGGCTTGGCCAAGCACTCACATGTGTCATCGCTAAATCATCGAGGGGCCCACAGATATCGCTTTTATCCCGAAGGTAAAAGGAATGGATAAACTTCGACTCATATGGCTTGTTCTACTACTTGTTGAATCATACACAAAGGCACGTTTTATTGTTGGGAAACATATGCATCAAATACACTCTATAACTAGGCAGCGGAATAATCGAAACAACAAAACGATTTACCTAAGTGTACATGCACCCTATGGATCTATGGCTTCATACTATTACTTCTACCCTAGGAAAACCGAAAATACAAGAAGAATACTAACCTCTTTAGCAGCCAATGATCTTCGAGCTTGACTCCTTGTGCGTGCTACCTTGTTTGGATGATGAGGATCCAAACCAGAATCCCTCTCTTGGCTCACACCCAATGAACTCAAAGGAGTAGAAACAAATATAAACTAGGAGGGATGAACTCACGAAAAGTTCTTCCACAATGAGGGAGAAAAAAGGTGGCGAATACTCAAGCCAAAAATGAGCAAGGAGGAATGAATCCCTAAGGCCCTATTTATAGCCTTGGATACTTCCTAGGGTTTTATCCTTCCACCCATGTGGGATGGAATATGCTAGGAACGAAATTCCCTTTATCCAAAGGGAATTTTCGTCCAACCCCCTTCATTCTAGGGTTCTGGAATGTTCCCTGATCAATCAATTATTGGTTAATTCACATTCAACCCTTCTATTAATTAAACTGTTAATTAATTCCCAAATTGTTTTCCAATTAGTTTCTAATTAATTATTAAACCATAATAATTAATAAACTAATTACTCCTATTATATATTCTACTCAATCTTGAGTCTTGAGGGCAACCCAAGAGGACCCTGCTATTATTAGAAACATCACCAACTAGTTAATGATCTTGGACACACTCCCAACAGTCTCCCACTTGGACAAGTCATCAACTAGATATGCATGGTTCTATATTTCTCAAATAATCAACAGAGAGAATGCCATCCAATGCATCTGCCGAACTCTGATCTAATCAGTATCAGCCCTCAGATAAGTGATCAACTATTCCTTCATCCTAGTGATATATGTATGAATTCAAGACATGGATAATGGTCAACCCCATAATTCAAAATTATGTTTCCCGATATAGATTTGTGACGACTACATCTGACTACTAAATCGAACACATCAATTCTAGTCAGTACCCGGCCAGGTTTTAAGATGTCAGCACCAAATCATCGAGGGGCCCATAGATATCGCTTCTCCTATTAAAGCAGAAGGGACGAATAAACTTCGACTACATAGTCCTTGTCCATTTCATCATGTCACACATGAATGTACCCGTTATAGCCACCAGTTACGAATAGCGTTGAAGTACACCAATGCATAACAGAATCCTAGAGCAAAGCCCCACATGTATCTCGGTTTGAAGAACAGAAGATATTATCATCTTAGAATTACTTGTGACTAAATCCATGAAGTAATCTCTAAGTGCGGGTTGTTCCAATGCTTAAATCTCCATTAAGCACTCACGAGTGTTGACACAATCACTATGTTATGCCAATCAAAATGGTCAATCCACCAACACTCATGACAGTCTTGAATCACTACTTACTTCCAAGAGTATGACTGACTGTGGAGGTTTGAGTACTTAGTACTCGGGAAGTGGTTCTAAACATGCAAAAGTGAAACATAGTAATAAATAAACAGAAATGATAGCAATCCAGCATTTTATTAAGTCTCCACAAAACAAACATCACTTCTATTACAAATTCATACTGCTCAATGTTTCAAGGATTATCAAACTAAACAACTAAACAACTATTCCATATCTTCAGCAAATCTAATGCCTATAGATCTCGTATGACTATCATGCTTGATCCTTGATAGTGGTTTAGTGAACGGATCGGCTGGATTCTCCTCTGACGATACTCTGCTCACAAAAATATCTCCATCCTCGACTCGATGTCTTACATAGTGGAACTTTCTAAGTATATGTCTTGAGTTACCATGGTCTTTGGGTTCTTTAGTCAATGCGACTGCACCCTCATTGTCACAGAAGATCTCCAAGGGATCCTTGATGCTCGGAACGACACCAAGATCATCAATGAAATTCTTCAACCATGTAGCTTCTTTTGCAGCTTCACTAGCTGCTATATACTCTGACTCACACGTAGAGTCTGCCACTGTCGACTGCTTGGAACTCTTCCAAGTGACCGCTCCTCCATTAAGCAAGAATACCCATCCCGACTGCGAACATGAGTTGTCCCTATCAGTTTGGAAACTTGCATCTGTATAACCTGTAACTCTCAACTCATCCTTACCCCCATATACCAAGAACATATCCTTTGTTCTTCTTAGGTATTTCAGAATGTTCTTTACTGCCGTCCAATGACTTTCGCCTGGGTTGTCCTGAAAACGACTCACCATACTCAGAGCAAATGAGACGTCAGACGAGTACATGTCATGGCATACATGATCGATCCTATAGCAGAAGCATACGGGACTCGACTCATTCTTTCCTGTTCATCACTAGACTCAGGACATTGAGTTTTACTCAATTTTGTGCCATGTTTCATAGGTAGATACCCTTTCTTGGAGTCCTGCATCTTGAATTTC